ACAGAATGGGTCACATAACCAGAGACCAAACAAAATGTTACTCATCAATCCTAACCAGCCTGACAAGAAGGGCTAAAAAATTGTATTATGAGAACAGATTATCCAACTTAAAAGGAGATATAAAAAAGACCTGGAAAACCCTATCAGAAATTCTATGAACAAAAAAGATATCACGAAATAGCGCAATTCAACTAACAAAACCAGATGAACCCCAACTCCCACCAACTGAAACAGCAAACAGACTCAATGATTTCTTCTCCACCATAGGAAAAAACCTTGCCAATAAAATCCCAAGCTCAAATACCCCGCCCAATGACTACCTCACTGGCAACTACCCGAACACACTGTTCCTAGCTCCGGCTAACCCAACAGAAGTCTCCCTTATTATCAACACACTAAAAAACAAGACAGGAGATTTAAATACCTTACCACCCTTTATACAGTGGACCCCCGCATAACGATTACCTCCGAATGTGACCAATTATGTAAGTGTATTTATGTAAGTGCGTTTGTACGTGTATGTTTGGGGGTCTGAAATGGACTAATCTACTTCACAATATTTCTTATGGGAACAAATTCGGTCAGTACTGGCACCTGAACATACTTCTGGAGTGAAAAAATATCGTTAACCGGGGGTCCACTGTATACAAAAAAGCGTCGCAAGTGCTGTCACCAATCACTGCAACACTCTTTAAAAAATCCATCGAATCCTCTACCTTCCCTGCAGTACTCAAAATAGCGAGGGTCACCCTGATCCATAAAGGAGGAGACCAAACAGACTTGAATAACTATAGGCCAATATCCAACTTACACCCTCTCTCTAAAATCTTCGAAAAATTAATTCATAAGCGAATGTATTCCTACCTCATCTCCCACAACATACTCAACCCCTGTCAGTTTGGGTTCAGGCCTAATATAAATATGAATGATGCTATTATACACATGCTAGAACAAATATACACTGCACTAGAGAAAAAAGAAGTCCCACTGGGGATCTTCATTGATTTACGTTAAGCTTTTGATACAGTTGACCATGACTTGCTCCACATAAAATTGTCACACTATGGTATAAGAGGGCACTCCCTCAACTGCCTAAAGTCATACTTCAGCAACAGAAGCCAATATGTGTACACAAATGGAGCAAACTCTTCCGCACAGCCAATTACAGTTGGTGTCCCACAGGGAAGTGTCCTTGGCCCTCTTCTTTTTCTCATTTACATAAATGACCTACCAAATGCATCACAACTACTCAAACCCACACTATTTGCAGATGACACTGCATACGTCTTCTTTCGCCCGAGCCCAGTTATGCTAGCCAATACTGTGAATACTGAATTACAGAAAATATCTATCTGGATGAGGACCAACAAACTTACTCTCAACATTGACAAAATCCACTTCATTCAGTTTGGTAACAGAACTACAGATGCCCGTCTTAACATAATGATAAACGGATCACCTATCACAAAGCTCACAGAGGGAAAATTCTTAGGAATCCACCTTGATAATAGACTCAAATTTCAAACACATATACAACAAATTTCCAAGAAAATTTCCAAGACAGTAGGCATACTATCGAAGATACAGTACTATGTTCCACAGGCAGCCCTCCTGGCCCTATATCACTCACTTATTTACCCCTATCTCACCTATGGAATTTGTGCATGGGGCTCAACAACACTAAACCATCTCAGACCACTAATCACTCAACAAAAGGCTGCAGTCAGAATGATAACAAATTCCCACTACACGCAGGACACTCCACCAATATTCAAAACTCTAAACCTACTCACCATACAAAACATCCATACTTATTACTGCACCTTCTACATACATAGAACACTTAACTCGGACATAAACCCTCCCCTCAAATGTCTCCTTACCAACCTCAACAGAACACATGACCATAACACAAGGCACAGATCACTCTTTGATGTTCCTCATGTCCATCTCACACTATGCAAAAACTCAATGCACATAAAAGGCCCAAAAATCTGGAATTCATTACCTCTGAATATAAAAGAAACACTGTTTATAAATTCAAGTCTCTACTTAAAAATCACTTACTCACCCACAACTAAATAAATACTGAATAACTGTATCTCATATATGTTTAACATGTGACCCTGTCAAACTTTGTTTTATTTTTTTTAATTACATTACCTAACAGAATACTCCATTCTACTGAATGCACAGCAACTCAGCAAATGACCATATGACCTGTCTTTGAAATACTCACTTGTGCTTAATTGTTAATTGTTTACTATAATTTTTACCACTTAAGTTAATTTTAAGCCTGCCCATAATGCTCTGCAAACAAGGGGCTTTTGGCATGTTACACTTATGTACATCTATGTATCATGTCCAAATTAATAATAAATAAATAAAATAAATCTAAATACTGTTCACCTATATGTTTCACTGTAAACACTGGTCTACACACCCCTACCTTTCCTAAAGCCTCCTTGTTCATCTGCTATCCTACTCTCAGTCTTACTCTTAATTCTTTCAATAATAACTCTACTACACTTTACCAGGTATACTCAACAGACTTATTCCCCTATAATTTTTCACTCTCTTTTATCCCCTTTGCCTTTTACATTAATATAGAGATTTCCATTAATCCATCTATATTTTTTCAAAATTATATAATAAACACACTACATAACATATAAACATCATACATACACCCACAGTATAAAAACTGACATAAATATGAGATCTGTTTACCAAGTGGTTTGTAGAGTGTCAGAAGAATTACACTCTCTCTAGTCAAACACGAGTAACTTAACTAGAAATTTATTCCTTTCGTATGCCTTCACTCTATCTATAGCTATTCACCACCCTTCTGGGTTTAGCTCTTCTTTTTTATTATGATTATAATAATAATAACTTGTAATAATAATAATAGCTTGTATTAATAATAACAACTTGTAATAATAATAATTTGTAATAATAATAATAATAATAATAATAATAATAATAATAATAATAATAATAATAATAAAATAATAATAATTTGTCAGAGCATCATTCCTTCTTAAAATTACATGAGAATGGAAGTGTTGGTCTTTATTTATTCTACTGTATCAATGTGGAGACAACTTTTACACAAAGTAAAGTGTTTGTATTATGGTATAACACAAACGTGTATGAACACCAGACGTGTTCGAATGGTTTACATTATGTGTGGGGTGGGGTGGGGTGGGGAGCGCTGCCTTGGCTGGCTACCATACTTCCCAAACCTGATTTCCTACAAATAAAACTCACCTCTCACCCTACATTAAGACTACAAATATTTTAAGGTAATTATTGAATGTACTGTATATGTATTTTATCGCTCTGGGGCGCTTGAATTAATTGTTGTAGTATATTACATGTGGGTGGGGTGTGGTGAGCTGACCTGGCTGGCTACCATACCTCCCAAACCTGACTTCCTACAAATAAAACTCACCTCTCACCCTACATTAAGACTTCAAATTTTTTAAGGTAAGTAATGGGTGTACCGTGTGTGTATTATACTTTTTTATTGCTTTTAATGTCTAGTTCTATAGCTAACTTAATATGTGTTAGTGTAAATTTGTTATCTGGCATTTATATGCATTTGTAAGTGGAAAAAATGGCGTTCTGCTTTCCAGCGATGTCTGCTTTCCGGCAGTAGCCTGGAACCTAACCTGCTGTATAAGTGGGGCCCTGCTGTATGTAATAATAAGTAATAATAATCATCATAATAACAATAATAATAAATCTTTATTTCTACATGTACAATGTATACAGGCCTAGCTGATATCTGTGACATACTACTATAAAGAAAACTCCTTGTTATGAAGAGCATTCTGGGCAATTTAAGTAAATTTTATCCCCAGGATGCAACTCACACGAGTTGACTAACATCCAGGTGCTTATTTTACTAATAGGTGGACAGGGACAGCAGGTGTCATAAGGAAATACACCCAATGTTTCCAGCTTTGCCGGGGATCGAACCATAGACACTCAGCGTGCGATGCGAGAGCATTACCTACATGGCCATGGGACACCCCATGGAATTGGACCTGTGCTTCCCTTCCTTGGATCGAACCTTAATGCTACCCATTCCCCAAAGTACTGTATGACCCCTTAAGGTTTAGTATAAAAATAACAATTATAATAATAATACCAAGTAATAATAATGACAATAATGTGGTAGGTCGTGTACCTCTCCATTATGGAAGGTTATTGGACTCCACAAAGCATACAGAAAACTCAAGTGCTTCCTTCCCTATCTCATAATAATTTAAATTGAAGTACAATATCTAGAAATGACTAGATGAGAGATTGTCATAATAAGAAACTATCTGGCACAAACTAACTATAGTTTGACTATAGTTAGTTTGATCATTGGCAATCACATTCTAATAAAAAAGTGGTATACTTTGCTCACTAAACAGTTTTATTGAGAAACAAACTTTATTTCTTTCTTCAATATTACAAAATGTTGTTTAAATGTACAGTAATAAAATATTATTAAGCACAAAAGAAAGACTCTAGAATGCAGAGCATTTCTGAAGAACGGACATGACTCCCATTCTCCCAGCTGGTAAAATGACTTCCCTTCCTCAGGCTGGGAAAATGACTCCAATTCCCCAGACTGGGGAAATGACTTCCCTTCCTCAGGCTGTGGAAATGACTAATTCCCATGACTGGGGAAATGACTTCCTTTCCTCAGGCTGAAGAAATGGCTCCCATTCCCCAGAATGGGGAAATGACTTCCCTTCTCAGGCTGGGGAAATGACTCCCATTCCCCAGACTAGGGAAATAACTTCCCTTTCTCAGGTTGGGGAAATGACTCCCATTCCCTACTGCTTGAGGAGTGAGAAGCACGAAGGCTCAATCCATGGAAAGGTAGAACAGGTCCAAGTCCCTATTTCAATACTTCTCACCAGAATCAAAGGAACTGTGTATTTGTTTAAATTTTTAATGATAGTCTAACAAAACCTTTTACTATATGTGCAATTACTTACCATTTCCCACAGCTCTTTCCTTGGTGATATCTTGACCAGATACATATTATTGCTTCCAGGCGCCATCCTAGTATTCCTTCCATGCGCCCTCAGAGGAGGGTAAAACCCAGACCTGGATGCCACATCCAGATGCTCCAGGTGGAAATATATTTGAAAAGGGATACTTAAGTAGTGGTATGAAAAGTTCTTTGAACCAACTACAATTCTGTCAAAAATCCTATTAGGAATATATAAATAAAAAATTGGAAAAATGTCTTCATAAAAACAACACTGAAATACAAAACTCAGTACCAATCTTGCAAAGAACTTCATGTCAAAAATTACTCCTACAATTTTGACGGGAGATATACCACTGTTCCCATGTAAACACATGGGGTATAAAAGTTTGTGTAGTAATTTTCGTCCTGGGTCTCTTCTTTCACTAATATAATATGAATAAAACTTTTGCACATCAAGATCATAGATGTGTAAACGTGAAGGATACTGCAAACCTAGGACATCCACAAGGCTGGATCTTAGGGACTCATGAGGTTCATAAGCAATTATGTTATGATTTGTTTGCGTCAAAAGTTTTCTAGTGAGAACACCAAGACCAGGAGAGCACTCCACAATTACATCTTCTTTCTCTAAATCTTTACTTAAATGCCTCACAAGCTTTTCTGCTACATCAAAATCCATAATGTACTGCCGTTTACCACTTGTGACGTTTTTTAAGTGTGACCTGAGAATTTTGAAAAGATCCTTTCCATTTTCGTTATCATACTTGTCATTTATTTTACATTTAATATTATTTGTTTCTAATTTAATGGAGGGCACTTCAGGATGGACAGATAATTCAGACTTATTATTCTCAGCAATATTCTCATTATTATAAATTTTACTGTCATATAAAACTGAATTTAGAGAATATTGTTTGCTTCGCATACTGCTTGTCACTTTTGTCATCTGTTCAATTCCTCTGAAGGAACTCTGTGCCCACTGTTCTCTATGAACACAGTAGAATAATCGGTTGGTTAACAGGCCTTGCTGTGATATTCTTCTAAGTGCCATCATATCTGTAAAAAAAAATAATAATACAATAAAGGTAAAATATATGAAAAAAAAAAAGAAATTAAATATGTACAGTATATAAAAAAGTACAAAATGCAAATAAAAGAACGAGTGAGCCATTGCCAACTAGTTTGGAAGAAAGAAACTGAGAAAATGAAGGAAGCAAATGACTGTCTGCTAGGAGTGGAATCACACTTCATGCTTGAGATGAAGAATGAGACAGAATGAGTGAAGGATGGAAGTGAAAATGAAATAAAGGAGTAAAGCATTAAGAAAGCATTGGAAAATCACTTGGGATGGAAGAAATTAAGACAGAAATGACCAAAGCAGACTGAAATAGTGTTGAAGTAATTAGTATACTGAACTGTATATGTTCCAATGATGTATATATGCAAGAAGTGAAGATGGACAAGGAATGGTAGTGTATATGTATGTAGGGAAATAATTATTTTAAGTATATACTACTAGGTAAAGCATAGGGTAGAAATGGGGTGGATACTGTGACTGAAAAGATAGGATATATTATCACACAACAAGATGGATTTGAAAGAAAAAGTTAGATGTGGATTAATGTTAAATGTTTATATTGTAATATGAATAAAGAATACTTCTATGATATTTAGTATATAGTAAGGTATAAGGAATTGTTTATCACACACCACATATACATGTATATGTAATTGGAAAATGCATACTAAGGTGGCTCAGGGAGTGATGCTGAAGTCCTAAAACTGTATTCCTAGATTAAAGTAGGGAGAATTTTTATGAGGAGAATAAAAAAAGAGGTTAGGTAGTATAGGAAAGAAGAAGAATGCTTCTCATTTGGTGGGGTGTCTGAGGTTGGGATTTTGCTCACTAGGTTTTTTCCTATGGTGGAGAAGAAAACACTGAGTTTGCTGTTTCAGTTGGTGGGAGTAGGGGTTCATCTGGTTTAACATTGTTAGTTTGATTGTTCTGTTTTTGGATATCTTTTTGGTTCCTAGAATTTCAGATAATGTTTTCCAGGTCTTTTTTATATCAGCTCTTAAGTTTTGTAAACTGTTCTCATAATACAATTTTTTTGACCTTATCAGGCTGGTTAGAATTGACAAGTAACATTTAGTTTGATCTCTGGTTATTTGCCTACTCTGTACTGTTTTTCATATAGGTGCTCTATATTAATGGATTTGAGGATGCTGGGTGTTAGCCAGGGACTGTTCAGTCTCTTAGCCGTTTAGTGTTTTAGGGCAATGCATGTTATAGAGGTATTGGGTCTTTTTTAGAAAATTATTAATACATTCATCAATATCTGTACAGTTTTCTAGCTCGTTGTGCCAGTCGATGTTTGTCATTGCTGTTATAAAGTTATTAATAGCTGTCTCGCTATGTAGTCTGAAGGTAACTTTAGTAGTGTCTTAGGGCACTTTACCTAGGTTGGTTATGAGAAAGGTAGGGTAGTGGTCTGTGGTGTTATCTGTGATTATGCCTGATTTTAAAAGGGATATGGTGTTTGTCCAGATGTGGTCTAATAAGGAGATACTAGTCTCCGAGATTCTTGTAGGTTTTGTTACTGTTGGTAGCAGCAAGCAGTTGCTCATAGTGTTTGTGAATTCAGTTACTTGTAGGTCATGGTCACGCAGGAGATTTATATTGAAGTTGCCTATGAGTAGCAAGTGGTCTTTGTTCATGTGTGCATCAGATATCATGCTTCCTAATTTTACACTAAATTGGTAAATGTTAGACTGTGGAACACCGTAGATGTTTATCACTGTGAGAGGTTTCTGTAGGTCTTTGGATTTAAATTTAGCTATAATATATTCTCCATGTTCATCCTTGTGCATGTATTGTTGATACATCCAAGTTGATCTGAGTAGTATATAGCTGTTCTTCCCTCTTGCTTGTTATGCTGGAGGTAAATTCTGCATGCTCATTGATAAGAGTGGGCAGTCCAACAGAATGTGGCTAACAGAAACTGGAACCTGACAATTCTCACAGTAGGGAACAGGGCGCCTCTCCATGAGATACCCGTGAGTAAGATGAGTGTGGCCGATGCGAAGGCAGGAGAGAGTCTCCCAACCTCGACACTGATGATAAGAAGATGGCCTGAAACCTATACACGGTTTAAAAGAATACAGTTTATTATAGAGCAGATCAGACCAATGTTGTTGCCAATAGGTGCAGAGGTAGGTAGCAATTACAGCAAAATAGTCTGTGAATGGAGCATCTCTATATGAAACTGGGAGGTCATGTACTGCTGACAGTGCAGCAGTGTCTGCCTATTCATTGCCCTGTAAGTCAACATGACCGGGAACCCAACAAAAAACAATATCTTTATGCTTGCTAGAGATACGGCGTAACCAAAGTTGGATATGAAGAACCAGGGGAAGAGGTTATCAAATTTTCATATAGCCTGTAAAACACTAAATGGTGACACAGGCATAGATGCAATACGGATAAGTGCTATGAGAATGGCATACAGGGGATAATAAATGCCCTCACACAATGCTGTCCGAAAACACCGCTGCAAGTCCAATGCCATCAGAAGACTTGGAACCATCAGCGTGCACTGTGATAGCATGAGAATGAGATCGGTAGTGGTTAAGAAAAAGAGGGCGAGAAGCCACCATAGGTATTTGGGCTTTCACGCATGGCAGTGGGAAAGAACAGACATGAACCGTCGGAATGCCCCAAGGTGTGTTTGTGACAATTTGAGCACAATTTCAGTACCTAATACTAGTGTCAGAAGAAAGATTGGTTATAAAATAACAAGAACTACTACAAATTGTAATTATCAGAACATAAAAATTACATAAAATATGAAAAATGGAAAAAAGGTATATCAGCAACACTTCTGCAAGCCTCAGGACTTGATGTTGCTGTCATGTGAGCATCCAGTGCCAACTTCTGGGCCTCACATCTCGGTAAATACTGACCCTAAATTTTTTTATTTTTATCCTGTAACACGTAGAATATGCTCTTTTTTTCAATAAAAAAAAATAATTTTTTTATTTTTCAAAATATTTGGGGTGCTGCTCAAGTGAACATATATATACATTTGGACCATTTAAGGGTTAATAACCCAACAAAGAGCTGCAGTCCAATTGATAACTAACTCCGGCACTAGACAGCATACTCCGCTGCTTTTCAAGAGTCTTAACTTGCTTAACCCTTTCAGGGTTTCGGACGTACTAGTACAGCTTACGCACCAGGGTTTTTGACATACTAGTACGCCTAAATTCTAGAGCCCTCAAATCTAGTGAGAGAAAGCTGGTAGGTCTACATATGAAAGAATGGGTCTATGTGGTCAGTGTGCACAATATAAAAACAATCCTGCCGCACACAGTGCGTAATGAGAAAAAAAAAATCTTTGACGGTGTTGTTGGATTAAAACAGCCACTTTGCACTGTATTTTCGTATGGTATTTATTGTTGTATTCTAGTTTTCCTGGTCTCATTTTATAGAATGGAAGACATATTACAGAAATTGAGATGATTTTGACTGGTTTTACAATGAAAAGTATCTTGAAATTGAGCTCAAAGTAGCAGAAATGTTCGATTTTTACCAAAGTTCAAAAGTAAACAAATCATGCCAAGCATCTAATACATGTCAACTGGTGAGTCTAATATTCTTTCACAAGTGTGCTGATATTATTTATACCATTTCTACACTAATGCAGTAGTCTGCATAACAGTAAATCTTCTATTTTTTGTAAGAATAAAAATTCAAAGTGGAAAGCCAAAGAAATATAAGAGGGGCCTGGGGATGTGACTAACGAACAGAGACCTTGTTATTTTAGTGCCAGGAATATCTTTCTTGTTTATTCTGGACCCTATTTGGAAATTGGCATCTTTTGAAATTTGTGTGAAATTGGCAAAATTGCTAAATTCTGACCACTTTATTGGATAGTTGAAATCGGTAAATGGGTGGTTTCTTGTACTCAATCAGTAGAAAAAAATGGAGTTCTAGCGAAATAGTTATGATTTTTGTCGACTAGTACACTGGAATTGGCCCAAAATAGGGTTCAAAGTGGGCAAAATTGCTGATGCATAAACATTGTCGAGACCGTTAACTTCGCAAGAGCATAATTCCATAAGTTTTCCATCAAATTTCATACTTTTGGTGTCATTATGATCGGGAAAAGATTCTCTATATTTTCATAAGAAAAAATAATTTTTTTTTTTTTAAATTTGGCGACCCTGAGAACAAGTCTTGGAGAGGGCCTGGCGACCCTGAAAGGGTTAATATACAAAACATCCACACTTATTATTGTCCCAACTACATACACAGAACACTACACACAAATATAAGCCCTCCTCTCAAACTCCTTGATAACTATAACAGAACACACAGCCATAATACAAGACAAATCACTCTTCGATATCCCTTGTGTCCATCTGTCCCTATGCAAAAATGCTATCCATACAAAAGGCCCCAAGATCTGGAATTCATTGCCAGAACACACTAAAAGACCCCTGCCTGCAAATCATTTTAACCCTTTGACTGTTTTGGTCGTATATATATGTCTTACGAGGCAGTGTTTCGGACGTACATATACTCAATAATTCTAGTGGCTTCAAACCAAGCAGGAGAAAGCTGGTAGGCCCACATGTGAGAGAATGGGTCTGTGTGGTCAGTGTGCACCACATAAAAAAATCCTGCAGCACTCAGTGCATAATGAGAAAAAAAAAACTGACCGTTTTTTTGGATTAAAACGCCGAATTTGAGGTGTATTTTCGTATAGTATTTATCGTTGTATTCTCGTTTTCATGGTCTCACGTGATAAAATGGAAAACATATTGCAGAAATAGGATGATTTTGATTAGTTTCACGATGAAAACGACCTTGAAATTGAGCTCAAAGTAGCGGAAATGTTCGATTTCTACCAATGTTCAAGAGTAAGCAAATCACACCACACATCCAATACACATCAACTATGGAGTATAATATTCTTTCACTAGTGCACTGATATTATTTATACCATTTTTACGATAATGCATTAGTCTGCATAACAGTAAATTTTGTATTT